GCTCTCCAGAGCTCCGCTTAGGCAGTAATATGAGTCTGTAGGCTCTTTCTTTTTGAGCCTCACTAACTGCCTCTGGGGTTGAGTGTAGCTAGGTCTCCTCTCGCTGTAGAGAGTCGTTATGCTGAGACCTCCACTCTTAAGAGTTCCCCTACCAGGATCGAGTGTTGCCAGGCTTCCTCTCATTTAAGAGAGTCTTACTGCTGGAGCCTCCACTCTTCAGAACTCCGTCTCTGGCAGTAGTATGAGTTTGTAGGCTCTTTGTTTTGGAGCCTCACTAACTGCCTCTGGCGTTGAGTGTAGCTAGGTCTCCTCTTGCTTTAGAGAGTCGTTATGCTGAGACCTCCACTCCTAAGAGTCCCCCTACCAGGATCGAGTGTTGCTAGGTTTCCTCTCATTTAAGAGAGTCATTCTGCTGAAGCCTCCACGCTGCAGAGTTCCGCTTAGGCAGCATTAATGTGTAGGCTCTTTCTTTTGAGCCTCACTAACTGCCTCTAGTGTTGAGTGTAGCTAGGTCCCCTCTTGCTTTAGAGAGTCGTTATGCTGAGACCTCTACTCTTAAGAGTCCCCCTACCAGGATCGAGTGTTGCTAGGCTTCCTCTCGTTTAAGAGAATCATCCTGCTGAAGCCTCCGCTCTTCAGAGCTCCGCTTTGGCGGTAATATGAGTTTGTAGGCTCTTTCTTTTTGAGCCTCACTAACTGCCTCTGGCACGGAGTGTAGCTAGGTCTCCTCTCGGTTTAGAGAGTCGTTATGCTGAGACCTCCACTCTTAAGAGCTCCTAACTAGGATTGAGTGTTTTTAGGCTTCCTCTCGTGTAAGAGAGTCATCCTGCCGAAGTCTCTGCTCTCCAGAGCTCCACTTAGGCAGTATTAATGTGTAGGCTCTTGAGCCTCACTAACTGCCTCTGGCGTTGAGTGTAGCTATGTCTCCTCTCGCGTTGGAGAGTCGTTATGCTGAGACCTCCACTCTTAAGAGCTCCTAACTAGGATTGAGTGTTTTTAGGCTTCCTCTCGTGTAAGAGAGTCATCCTGCCGAAGTCTCTGCTCTCCAGAGCTCCGCTTAGGCAGTATTAATGTGTAGGCTCTTGAGCCTCACTAACTGCCTCTGGCGTTGAGTGTAGCTAGGTCTCCTCTCGCTTTAGAGAGTCATTATGCTGAGACCTCCACTCTTAAGAGCT